CCTGCTTCCTCTGGGGCTCTTCATCCTCTTCCTCTTCCTCGCCGCTCTCCTCCTCCTCCTCCTCGTCCAACATGGTGACCAGTTCCTCCCGCAGCGCCCCCATCTCCAGCCCCAGGCGGCAGAGCTGTCCCAGCAGCTGGACATCCATTTGGCGAAGGTTCCCCTACCGGTAGGAAGGGGGTGTCACAGGGATGCCACCCCAGAGAGCAAAGGGGCTCTCCAGGACCTGGGTGAGAGCAGGGCCCAGCTCACATCCTGGCCATGGCGCCTGGGCAGGGTCCTCACAGTGCCCCTGGACCCTAACCATCTTCCTGCTTCTCAGAGGGTGTCTTCATCTCTAACTCTGTCTCTGCCTTTGTCTCTGCATTTCATTCTCCCTGACTTCTCTCTCTCTCTCAGTAATATGTCTCTATCTCTGTCCTTGTCTCCCTTTGTCTGTCTCTGTCCCCATTTATTTTTTCTTTCCATGCCCCCGTCTGTTTCGCCATTTTTCTGCCCCTGCCTTTGGTGCTCTCTTTCTCTCCTGTCTCTCTCTCTTGCTTTCTCTCCTCCCCCAACTAATTGTCTCTCAGATTCAGTCTGAGTCTCTCCATCTCTGTTCCTGCTCTCAGTGTCCTCCTTCCCTCTCTTTTGGGATCTCTCTGTCCCCACCTCCATTCCTGTCCCTCCCTCTATTCCTGTCTCTGTGTCTGTACGTGCCTCTCATGTCTCTGCTTCTGTCTCTCAGGTTCCTTCAATCTAGCTCTATTTCCATTCATTTCCACTCATTCTCATTCCCTCTCTCTCTTTCCCTTCCAAACCCCTCACTCACCAGCTCCTCCCAGGTCCACAGCAGACTATCCCAGGCACCTCCAGCGTCTGCGCCTGCAGTCTTGAGGGTCTGGCCAGGGATTTCCACTGGGGAGACCTCCCTCAGGGCCTGGGGGGGTGGGCCCAGTTCCGGGGGCACCAGTCCAGCCTGACTCAGCTGCCTCCACAGCTCCATCGTCTCCGGGCTCTGGGTGCCAGGAGCAGGAAGTAGCAAGGTCCAGGGCAGCCCAGTCCCCCAGGGAGCTGTGTGCATAGTGCAGAGTAAAGGGCAGAGGGAGTGGAGTGGGGGTTCCTGGCAAAGGCATCCCAAAGTCCACTCTTCAGAGAGAATCAGCTGGCCTTGCGCTTTTTTCTTTTCTCCTTCTGAAGTCTAACCTCAACTCTGCTCGCAGGGTTCAAACACAACCTCTTGCAGAGGTCAAACTCCGCCCCTCCCTGCCTATCTCAGGCCTGACCCTTCAGGGGCACTGTGTCTGCAGGAGCCTGGCACCCTCTGTCCTTCCACCTGGGCACTGCCCCCTTCCAGCCTTTCCTCAGCTTCCATTTGACCTCTGGTTCGCCCACAGCTTGGTCCTTGCCTGCGCTCTCGGCGCGGGTCATTCCAGGGCTTTCGCACCAGTGTGCCTTTGGGGGGCAGAAATGGCTCCAAGGGCACCAACAGAGCAATCCGTTAGCTGCGGTGCCTGCGTCCGGGCTGCTAGCCTAGGGCTGAGCAGCCAATTCTGCTGACCCTGGACTTGCCTATGGGTCTATTAGCCCTGTTGGGGGTGGGGGCTTCTGCTGTGGAAAAGTCTGGGAAGCATGGCAGGACTCTCTCTCCCTTGAACCCTTCCTTCAGACCCGAGATGCTTGTATATATACACACACAAAATGGCAGATCACAAGGTCAGGGGATTGGCCAACATGGTGAACCCGTCTCTACTAAAATACAAAAAATTAACCAAGCATGGTGGCACGCGCCTGTAGTCCCAGCTGCTCGGGAGGCTGAGGCAGGGGAATCACTCGAACCCGGGAGGTGGAGGTTGCAGTAAGCCAAGATATCGCCACTGCACTCCAGCCTGGTGACAGAACAAGATTCCATCTCAAAAAAATAAAAGACAAAATAAATTATATATATGTATATATCTTGCTCTGTCACCCAGGCTGGAGTGCAGTGGTGCAATCTCAGCTGTACAAAAAATATACAAACTTTTTTTTGTATTTTTAGTAGAGATGGTGTTTCATCATGTTGGTCATGCTGATCTCGAACTCCTGACCTCAGGTGATCTGCCCACCTCAGCCTCCCAAATTGCTGGGATTACAGGCATGAGCCACCATACCCAGCTTGAATTCTTTCCTGAGTGGAGCCAAGAACCCTCCAAAATGGCTAAGCCCTAATTTGGGGACTCACCTACCCTGTGACAGAGCTGCAGAGTTTGGGTGTGGAACTCAAGTGGGAGATCAGGACTGGGGCCAGACACTTGAAAGCCAGTGATATATACATGAAATTGGCTGGGCCTGGTGGCTCATGCCTGTAATTCCAGCACTTTGGAAGGCTGAGGCAGGTGGATCACCTGAGGTCAGGAGTTCAAGACCAGCCTGGCTAACATAGTGAAACCCTGTCTCCACTAAAAATACAAAAATTAGCTGGGTGTGATGGTGCTCACTTGTAATCCCAGCTACTTGGGAGGCTCAGGCAGGGAAATCGCTTGAACCCAGAAGGCAGAGGTTGCAGTAAGCCAAGATTGTGCCATTGCACTCCAGCCTGGACAACAAGACTGAAACTTTGTCTTAAAAAAAAAATCCAGAATTTGAGCACTTCTCACCATTTCCTCTGCCCATCCCCGTTCATCTCTTGCCTAGACCATTACAGAAGCCTCTTGTACTGGTTGCCTGCATCTACCCTTGCCCTCTAATGTAAGCATCCCCAATCCCTGGGCCGAGGACCAGAACCAGCCTGTGTCCTGTTAGGAACTGGGCTACACAGCAAGAGGTGGGCGGTGGGCAAGTGAGCATGACCGCGTGGGCTCCACCTCCAGTTAGATCCGCGGTGGCATTAGATTCTCACAGGAGGCAAACTCTATTGTGAACTGTGTGTAGGGAGGACCTAGGTGGCCTGTTCCTTATGAGAATCTAATGCCTGATGATCTCAGGTGGAACAGTTTCATCCTGAAACCATCCCAGGACCCCCACCCCGTGGTCAATGGAATAATTGTATTCCACAAAACTGGTCCCTGGTGACAAAAATGTTGAAGACCACTGCTCTCAGGTACATTCTCCACCTGGCAGAAGTATATATATATATATATATATATATATATATATTTTTTTTTTTTTTTTTGAGATGGAGTTTTGCTCTTGTTGCTCAGGCTGGAGTACAATGGCGAGATCTCAGCTCAACACCACCTCTGCCTCCCAGGTTCAAGCAATTCTCCTGCCTCCCAAGTAGCTGGGATTATAGGCATGCATCACCACACCTGGCTAATTTTGTATTTTAGTACAGATGGAGTTTCATGTTGGTCAGGCTGGTCTCGAACTCCCAACCTCAGCTGATCCACCCTTCTTGGCCTCCCAAAATGTGCTAGGATTACAGGCGTGAGCCACTGGGCCCGGCAGAAACAATCTTTACAAAACATAAATCCGATTTTAACATTCCCTTCTTCCTACTGCGAATAAAATAAAAACCCTGCCAGGCCTGCAGCGTCAGCCCCTGCCCACCTCTCAACCCAGTCCCCCGTCTCTGTCTGCAAGCTGTTCCCACCTCAAGGCCTCTGCTCTAGAGGCTACCTCTCCCTGCAACACTTTCCCCTGGATCTCTGAATGGCCCTTTCCTTATCATTCCCTTCCCCTTCAATGTCACCTCTTCAGAGAGGCCTTTGCTGATGGCCCTAAGCCCCAGTCACTTTTTAAAATCTGCTTCTTATCAAAATTACCTTGCTGATTCCTTTGTTTCTTCTCCATCCTCTCCCACATCCTTCCTCTCCCAGCCAGGAATGTTGACTCCCTGAGAGAGGGGCTGGTCTGTCCTGCTCACCATGGTAACCTCAGCACCTAGAACATGCCTGCCATCACGTTGTAGGTACTCAGTAAATACTCTTGGAATGAATGAATGAATGAATATTTCTATCCACAAGACTTCACAGTGGCTCTTCATGCTACGATCTAGCTTTGAACTCCAAACTGAAGTCAAACTTCAGTACTGGTCTTGAGATCTCACCTCCGTCTCTAATCTTGAAATCAAACCCCTTCATCCACTCTACCTTTCTCTTACCTGACCCTAATTTTAAAAAATGACGTGGTCAGCTTTTCAGCCCTCTTATTCCCTGTTTTTTTGTTGTTTTTTTTTTGGTTTTTTTTTTTTTGTTGTTGTTGTTTTGTTTGCTTGTTTGAGATGGAGTTTCCCACTTGTTGCCCGGGCTGGTATGCAATGGTGTGATCTCGGCTCCCCGCAACCTCCGGCTCCCAGGTTCAAGCGATTTTCCTGCCTCAGCCTCCCAAGTAGCTGGGATTACAGGCATGGGCCACCACGCCCAGCTAATTTTGTATTTTTAGTAGAGATGGGGTTTCTCTATGTTGGCCAGGCTGGTTTCGAACTACGGATCTCAGGTGATCCACCCTCCTCCGCCTCCCAAAGTGCTGGGATTACAGGCATGAGCCACCGCGTCCGGTCTTCATTCCGTTTTAAGCAGGTAGTGAGTGAAGCTGGAAGAACAAGAAAGCTCGGGGAGACTGCAATTGCAGTCAGAAAAAAAAGGTACTCAGCCAGGAAGGACACCTCATCTTCTAGGGAAAGATTGCGGAGTCGTCTTTTTTTTTTTTTTTAAGACAGCGTCTCGGTCTGTCGCCCAGTCTGGAGTGCAGTGGAGTGGTGCAATCACAGCTCACTGCAAACCTTGACCTCCCGCCTCAACCTCGTGAGTAGCTGGGACCACAGGCGTGCACCACCATGCCCGGCTAACATTTCATTTTTTGTGGAGATAAGGTTTCCCTATTTTTTGTGGAGATAAGGGCTCCCCTATGTTGCCCGAGCTGGTCTTGAACTCCTGACTTCAAGCGATGCTTCCCGCCTCGGCTTCCATAAAGTGCTGGGCTCACAGGTGCGTGAGCCACAGCGCCCGACCGGTGTCCCGTATTAAAGCTCAGGAAGAGGGCGCTGTGAGCAATCCCCAAACCCTGTGAGGGTAAAAAGTGCGTGCACCTTTAAGAAGAGGGTTAGAAAACGCGGGGCGTGAGGAGCTTAAGTTCGCGCTGAACCACGCGAGTGGTAAGACCTGCCCCTTCCGGTTACGTAACCCTTGCAAGATGGCGGCGCCGTGGAGGGTAAGTGAACGGAGTTCCTAGAGCTCCAGATTTGAACTCCGTTCTGCAGCCTCCGCCTTCAATGCCAGTGTTGGCTGCCAAGAGAGCAAAGAGCCGTCAGGCAGCAGGCTAAGCCTGCCGAGCCCCGTGCTGAGAGTGCAGACCTGTGACTACTGAGGGCCGGGAAGGGTCTCGGGGGGTCGCAGGCGGAGGAGACGCTTTAGCGAGCCAGAGGAGGCAGGTACTTGGCTGAGAGAATCCAATGGGGATGAGGGAGTGGAAAGTTCGTGGGGGATTGAGGAATTTTTACAGAAAATTCAAAAGTATGATGAGTGGGGGAACCAAGAGGTCAATTTGGGGCTTCCAAGGGAATAATCTGGGTGAAATTAACAGGAGGATTTGGGATAGTCTTTTCACAGGATTTAGAAAGAACTGGGTAAAATCAAGGAATGAATTTAGGGAAAAATAGAGAGGTTGGCAGCTTTAAATTTTTGATGAAAATAAGAGTTTGGGTAAAATTATCGAGATAATTTGGAAAAAAAAAAAAAGAGAGCCTTTGAAGAGAAATTGGGGTAGATTAATAGGAGACCTTGAAAGCGAAATTGAAGAGTTTGGGGGCTTCTTTCCAGAGACCACACTCCTCCACTTTCTTACCCTCCTCTTCAAAGCTCATGCGTTTTTTACCCTTCACGGTTCAGGGGTGTCCAGTCTTTTGGCTTCCCTGGGCCACGTTGTTCGAAGAATAATAATTATCTTGGGCCACACATAAAATACATTAACCTTAATTGATGAACTAAAAAAAAAAATCACAAATTCTCATAATGTTTTAAGAAAGTTTGCACGTTTGTGTTGGGTTGCATGAAGGTGGCAGGTTGGACAAGCTTGGTTGGGTTTAGGATTGCTCAGAGTGCCCTCTCCATAAGATTTGGAGAGAAGTTTTTAAGATTACATTTTGGAGAATGAAATATGTCATCTGGGAAGACTCCAGGATGATTTCCCACAATTTGCCCCTTAATTGGGTAATTAAGATGCACCTGGGAACAAGGTACATAAGAAAAATCGGTAAGAATCCCTGGCCTGCAAGACCCTGCGGAGACCCTGGCCCACCAGAACCCAGGTCCTGTCCTTGTCATTGCCAGGCAGCACTGTGGCATCCAGTGCCAGCCTTGATGTCTCTTCCAGCTCCAATTCCAGCCCGTACCATTCTCAAGGACTCTTAATTGGGTAATGAAGGGGCAAATGGTGGGAAATTAATGGCAGGTTTTGAGAGAGACGTTTGGGAGAAAGAGGAATAATTTAGGTAAATGAACAATATATGGCTAATCAAGGCAAGAATTTAGGGTTGACTAAGGGGAGGAGGAACTTGGAGACATTTTTGGCATCTCAAAGTCAGTTTTGAAGTTCTGAAGAAAGAATTTAGGGTGAGTTGGGAAGCAGAGGGATTGAAGTTCAGGGAGCAAGAACTGGGGGATCCGGCTCTGTCTCTCCCAGGAAGCTCCAGGCTCAGCTTCTTTCCTCTCCTTATTCCCAGTCCCTGCGCCTAGTGGCCCCCATATGGAACAGAAGTACCAGGGGTATCCATCACCTGGGTGGGGCAGTGGACCCAGAGAGCAATCAGAAGAAGAGGAGGACAATGCTCCAGTACCTGTCCGACTATTTCTATGATGTGGAGTCTCTGAGGGGTTATTTTCTCCAAAATGAGATGGTCAAGGTGCATCAGAAAAATCGGTAAGAATCCCTGGCCTGCAAGACCCTGCGGAAACTCTGGCCCACCAGAACCCAGGCCCTGTCCTTGTCATTCCCAGGCAGCACTGTGGCATCCCGTGTCTCTTCCAGCTCCATCTCCAGCCTGTAGTGTTCTCAAGTACTCCAGCTCACATACGCAGCTTGCCACCCACCAGCTCAACTCAGAGTATAACTGGCCTCTTAAACCCAACATGGCTATAACCAAACCCTGATTTCTCCCCTAAAAACATCTGCTCACTCCCAAGCCTTCCCATCCCATCCCAGTAAACATTAGTGCTGCCCACCCAGTTATTCATGCCAAATTCTAAGGAGTCATCCCTAATTCCTCTCTTTGCTACCCTGCCCTCCACATCCATACCATCAATAAAATACTAGAATATCTCAAATTTGACCAGTTTTCACTGCCTTCACCATTCATAGCCTGATCCAATCACTCAGTAATCTCCTAACTGGTTTTTTGCTCCCATACATTTTTTTTTTTTTCCTCCTTTTGAGACAGTCTTGCTCTGTGGCCCAGGCTGGAGTGAAGTGATGCAATCTCAATTCACTGCAATCTCCAATTCCCAGGTTCAAGTGATTCTCCTGCCTCAGCCTCCTGAGTAGCTGGGATTATAGGCACCTGCCACCACACCCAGCCAATTTTTGTATTTTTAGTAGAGACAGGGTTTCACCATGTTGGCCAGGCTTGCCTTGAACTCCATACCTCAAGGGATCCACCCACCTTGGCCTTTCAGAGTGCTGGGACTACAGGCATGAGCCACCATGCCCAGCCTCCCATACTTTTTTTTTTTTTTTTTTTTTTTTTTTGAGACACTCTCTGTCCCCGAGGCAAGAGTGCAGTGTGGCACAATCTCAGCTCACTCCAACCTCTGCCTACTATGTTCAAGCGATACTCATGCCTCAGCCTCCAGAGTAACTGGGATTACAGGACTGGCTAATTTTTGTATTTTTCGTAGAGATGGGGTTTCACCATGTTGGCCAAGCTGGCCTCGAACTCTTGACTTCAGGTGATCCGTCTGCCTTGGCCTCCCAAAGTGCTGGGATAACAGGCATGAGCCACCATGCCTGGCCTGTCCCATAATCTACAAAGCAGCTGAAGGAATCTTATCGGCTTAAAACCCTCAAATGAGAGCCCATCTTTAAGACCTAAATCATAACCCCGACTGAACTTTGAGACCCCGGACCAGGACTCCACTGCCCTCCACTGCCCCCCCCACCCCCCCCACCACCCCCCCCGTCAGCATGACATCCCTATTTCTCTTTGTGTGTTGGGGGGGGGCGGGCAGGGCAGGGTTTCACTCTTGGTGCCTGGGCTGGAGTGCCATGGCCCGATCTCGGCTCACGACAACATCTGCTTCAGCCTCCCAACTAGGTGGGATTACAGGCATGCGCCACTGCGCCTGGCTAATTTTGTATTTTTACTAGAGATGGAGTTTCACTAAGTTGTCCAGGCTGGTCTCAAACTCCTGACCTAAGGTGATCCACCTGCCTAGGCCTCCCAGAGTGCTGGGATTACAGGGGTGAGCCGCTGCGCCTGGCTGACATCCCTATTTCTTACTCATTCAACCATCCTGAGTCTCTGAGCCTTTATACTCTGTTCCTTGTCACCACTCAAATCTCTGCTGAGATGTCACCGCCTCCCATTAATAACCAAACTCAATTAGCCTCCACCGTCCCCACTCCTCTGCTCCCCACCCCTCCCAGTCAGCCCCTCTGCTCCCCACCCCT